TATACCTATGGAGGAATGTCATCTCCATACAAGCACACTGGGAAGCCAAGCAGCTACATACTTTGGAAGATGCCCAGGTTTGGTTTTTAATTCCTCTCCCAAAGGACATTTGGTTGATTTTTTTCCCCGATATTTTTGGTTTTGATAGTGATAATAGTAAGACCCAGGGCCAAACATCTGCATCAGGCTTGAAGAATGAAAACTGACAGTTGTCTGCACTGTTGTTACTGGATGCTATAGACGGCTTCAATTTTAAGTACAAGCAATACATTAGATTTTCTACAATCATGTATAGGAAAGAGAGAAACCGTGGAGATTGTTTCTCAAATGCATTAAATATGTGCCTAAATGAACAAAATACCCAAGACAAGTCATGTACCAAAAAAAAGATTTCAAAAGAAACACTTCACACCTAAAAATGCGAGCTCCCCAAATTATATCAAAAGACTTTATGGGAAAATAAAGGACTTCTAAAGGTATTTACTCAGATTTTCACACACCATAACTTTGAAGGATTTAGTGGAGACTACGCCACAGCTATTTCTTGACAAATATTTTTACTACCTTCCTCCTCTATCTGTGTTTTTAGATCAGATTTAACAGTTACATAATTTACCCTGTTACCCTTTGCATGATGCAACTCAAACGACATAGCTGGAATAGAACTGTCTGACCCTTGCACCTACAACAATACTCTGTTACTGTTTTCATAAATAAGGCAAGTCTTCGTTCCCAATTAAGTAGATTCAGGGTCTTCACACTCTTCTCAGAATTACTCTGTCCCTGTGTGATGAGACCTACAGCTCCCTATTGACACTACACTGTAATCCTGCACAGAATAATCTGGTATATGTTGCAGTAAGGCAGTTTAAGAGACAGGAAAGAACTACTCTTACTAACTTCGGAACAAACACCTCGAATGAACGGGGTTGTGCGTGTACATGTGGCACAGATGCTCCAGCAGCGACACCAGCAGCAGCTGGTTTTGGATGGTCGAAGTGAAATTCACAAACTTTTGCGACGCGTTGGCAACTCGCAGCTCTGCCGGCACGTCCGATTCTGGAAAAGGAGAGTCAGAGGCATGAACTCAGGTCTCCGCACACGCCTGCTCACCGAAGCACCCAAGCCACGCACCAACCCGCGCAGCCTCGACACAACCCCGGCTCATCCAACGGCACCACGCCAGCTGCCACTCTGCGGCCGCTCACCCCCACCGCCCCCCCCCCCCCTGCCACTCTGCGGGAAACTGAAGACGCTAACCAGGAACCTAATTATAATTAGTATTTTTACAGGTGCACATAAAAAGCAGCTAACCGGAGAGAACGAGGCTCTCCCCGAGGGAGGGGGAGCCCGGGGCCCCCGCTGCCTCACGGAGAGAAGGCTGCGGCTCTCCGCAAGGAGAAGGAAGCGACGGAGGGGGTGGAATGGCGGCGGTTCTCTACCCTATCCCCCCCCTCCCCGCGCAGAGGGCAGGGCCGCCCCCGCGGGCACC